CTGGTCTACCACTTTTAGGCTCTCTCTTTGCTTTGAGGAGCCCGTTCAGTATTTCCTGTAGAGCTGTTTTGGTGTTTGCAAATTCTTTTAATTTTTGTTTATCCTGGAAGCTTTTTATCTCTCCTTCTATTTTTAATGACAGCCTAGCTGGATATAGTATTCTTGGCTCCATATTTGTCTCATTTAATCCTTTGAATATATCATGCCAGTTCTTTCTGGCCTGCCAGGTCTCTGTGGATAAGTGTGCTGCCAATCTAATATTTCTACCATTGTATGTTACAGACTTCTTGTCCCAGGCTGCTTTCAGGATTTTCTCTTTGTCACTAAGACTTGTAAGTTTTACTATTAGATGATAGATGGGGCTGGACCTATTTTTACTGATTTTGAGGACAGTTCTCTATGCCTCCTGGATTTTAATGCTTGTTCCCTTGACCATATGAGGGAAATTCTGTACTATAATTTGCTCTAGTATATCTTCTGCCCCCTCTGTCTTTCTTCTTCTTCTGGAATCTCAATTATTCTAATATTGTTTCATCTTATGACATCACTTATCTTGTGAATTCTCCCCTCATGGTCCAGTAGTTGTTTTTTTCTCTTTTGTTAGCTTCTTTATTCTCCGTCATTTGGTCTTCTATATCACTAATTCTCTTTTCTGCCTCATTTATCCTAGCAGTAAGACCCTCCATTTTTTATTGCACCTCATCAATGGCTTTTTTAATTTCAGCTTGGTTAGATTTTAGTTCTTTTATTTCTCCAGAAAGGGATTTTATTTCTCCAGACAGTTTTTCTCTAATATCTTCATGCCTTTTTTGAGCCCTGCTAGCTCCTTGAGAATCATCAATCTGAACTCTAGATCTGACATATTACTAATGTCCATATTGATTAGGTCCCTAGCTGTCAGTTCTGCCACTTGTTCTTGTGTGTGTGTGTGTGTGGTGAATTTTTCTGCCTTGTCATTTTATCCAGATACGAATTTATGAATGAGAGAATAAAATACTAAAAGGGTGGCAAAAAATCCCAAAAAATGTACGCAAACCAAATCGGAAGAGATCCTAAACCAGGGAATGAAGGGATGGAATAGGACTGTAAAGATGACAATTAAACAATGATTCTAAAAAAGGAATCAGTAAGATAAGTTGGTTGGAAAAAGAAGAAAAAAAAGAGGAAAGAATGTGATCAGGCTGAAGACTAGAACAAAGCCCTGGGCTAGATTTAGGGTACATTTTGATCTATTAGGGGAAATTGTATCCCAAAATTTTAAAGAAAAAAAACCTATATGTATACAAAAAATAAAGTTAAATACAATGAAGGGATAAAATAGGACTATAACGGGCGCCTGGGTGGCTCAGTGTGTTAAGCCGCTGCCTTCGGCTCAGGTCATGATCTCAGGGTCCTGGGATCAAGGCCCGCATCGGGCTCTCTGCTCTGTGGGGAGCCTGCTTCCCTCTCTCTCTCCTCTGCCTGCTTCTCTGCCTACTTGTGATCTCTGTCTGTCAAATAAATAAATAAAATCTTAAAAAAAAAGGACTATAACAATGAATATTTTAAAAAGATCTTATTTTTTTAAAAAGAGTTATTATTAAAATAGTTTAAAAAATTAAAAGAGGAAAGAAGAAAAGTTTTAAAAAATAGAATAAGAAAAAAAAATAATTTAACTTTGCAAGACTGAAGGATCATGGGGAAAAAAGCCATGAATTCTATGCATTGCTTTCCCCTAGTTCTAGAGTTCCACAGTTCTTGTCTATCAGTCAACTTGGTCTTGGTTGCATGTTCTTGCTCATCTTCTGGGGGAGGGGCCTTTTGCAGTGATTCTCAAGTGTCTTTTCCTATGGTGGAATTGCACCACCCTTGCCAGGGGCCAGGCCAAGTTATCTGCTCAGGTTTCCTCTAGGAGCTTTTCTCCCCTGAACATTTTTCCTTAGAGCTCTGGAGGACAGGAATGAAGATGGTGGCCTCCTAATCTCTGGCCCAGAGGAGCCGAGAGCTCGGGGATCCACTCCTCTTTGCGCCCTCAGAGAAAAGCAGTCAGTTCCTCCCATCTCCCTGGTCTCTGGCTGTGCTCCGTGCTCACCCGGCCTGTGACCAAGCGTTTCTGTCTCTGGCGCACAGCTACATTTGGATTCTCCAAATCCAGCAGATTCCTTTCACGTGCTCCTGTGCTGGTCCTCCCGGATGAAGAAGAAGGGGATCTCTCTGGATTTGCCACTTGTGGGATTCCTGCTTGAAGAGCAGTGGTCCGACTGTGCCTTGGATCATGGTTTAAGTTAACACTGAGTTGAGATCTCACTCCTTGGCTCCAACTCTGTAGCCGGCTTCCCTGCTCTGATACCTGGTAACTCTGCCACACTCAGACACCCCGGTCTTTCTGTGACTCTGTGGGTCCTGAGACAAGACTGCCCCCACTAGGGCCCCACCCTTGCTTAGCCTCTGGAGCAACATCCCTCGGTGGAGCAGAGTTCTGATTTTGTGCTCCGTTGCTCCACTGCTTGCCGCAAGCCGGCCCCTCCCCGCCACGAAGTATCTTCCCATTGCTTCGGATTCACTTCTCCGCCTATCCTACCTTTCAGACCCCCAGAAAGTGGTCGATTTTCTGTTCCTAGGATTGCTGCTCTTCTTCTCTTCTATCTCCTGTTGAGTTTGTAGGTGTTCATATTGGACTGATTACTATCTAGCTGATCTCCTGGAACCTAATGATATTTCATAGGCTACTCCTCCACCATTTTCTATAATCTCCAGTATACCAGTTTTTTTTTTTTTTTAAGATTTTATTTATTTATTTGACAGACAAAGATCACAAGTAGGCAGAGAGGCAGGCAGAGAGAGAGCGGAAGGGAAGCAGGCGCTCTGCGGAGCAGAGAGCCCGATGCGGGGCTTGTGCCCAGGACCCTGGGATCATGACCTGAGCCGAAGGCAGCAGCTTTAACCCACTGAGCCACCCAGGCACCCCTCCAGTATACCAGTTTTTAAAAACAAATATTAAGGAGGGCTCTTGGGATGAGCACTGGGTGTTGTATGTAAGTGATAAATCACTAAATCCTACACCTGAAACTAATGTTATACTGTACATTAACTAACTGGAATTTAAATAAAAATTTGGCAGAATAAGTTATTGAATATAAAATTCATTTGTCCATTCTTGTTAACATAAAGTTCACAAATCCTATATCATTTTAGGCACACTTAGTTTAAAAAAGTTTAACTCACACAAATATTCAACTGATAATTTAACCTCTTTTTGTGTCTCTAATTACTTTCTCTTTTTGTGTATTAATTTCCTTTCCTTATTTTTTTTTAAGATTTTATTTATTTATTTGACAGAGATCACAAATAGGCAGAGAGGCAGGCAGAGAGAGAGGAAGGGAAGCAGGCTCCCTGCTGAGCAGAGAGCCCGATGCTGGGCTCGATCCCAGGACCCTGGGATCATGACCTGAGCCGAAGGCAGAGGCTTTAACCCACTGAGCCACCCAGGAGCCCCTTAATTTCCTTTTCTGAAAAATTGTTAAGAGTAGTACTTGGTACTGATTGGTTTGATTACATACCATTTTTCATGCATTTTGAAGGAAACATTTAAAAATAAAAACATTGTAGTTTATTGTTGTGAATATTTAATGGAATTAAATTCGCTCTAATTCCTGAATATTATGGAGAGGATATTATTTATAAAATATTTCCATTGAACGTTTCATCAAAAATAGCTCTGCATCTATTTACCAATATCTATTCTGTAAACAGTGCTAAATGACGCCTCTGTTACTTAGATATTTAATTTAATCATTGATCATTTCATGTTTCCAAAAAAAAAAAAAAAAAAGGTGAAAGAAGGAGGCGTTTACAACAGATGAAGTTTAAGGTAAATGACCAGAATTCTATTGCTCCCCAATGTGAATTAACATTTATAATGAGGTCTTTAAACTCCAAGCTCAGTTCTTTTTCTTCTATCACATGTTATAAAATCCCTCTTTGATTTAGTTTTTTATACTTAAAAATGAGAGTTGTAATCAGGCATCAATCAGTGTTAGAACCAAAGAGTCATAGAACAGTTCATACCATAATGAGATTTCTGAGCAAAAAGTAAGTAAACACGTGCATTATAAAGTTTTTATAGAAAAAGGCCTTATTTCCATAGCCCCACAAAAGTAGCTTGAGTTTTCACTAGTATTTAAAGTTTGTTCAGATCACTTCAGGAGGCTACAGGTGTGCTGGTTAAGAGCACCAGCTCTAACTTGTGTTCAAATCCAGGCTGGGTGACCTTGAACAAGTTCTGCAGTTTTTCTTTCCTTCGTTTTTTATTTATAAAATAGGGACAAAATATCAATACCTACCTTGTAGGGTTGTTATATGGATTTGTATAATATATATTATATGATGCATATATAATATAAATATATCTAGATATAAATGTATATTTTATATAAATATATAACATATATATAATATATACAACAGCATATATGTATTATATCTGACCCATATAAGCCTTAATTTCAATTTTTTTCTAAAAATCAAAGTTAACAATATTAACTAAGAGCTAAGTCCTGATTCATAAGCACATTCAATCAGATAACAAGAAGATAGTCTCCATATAAGGTCAAATAATTTCTCAACATTTATTATACAACATATTTAATATGGCTATGCAGAATCAATTTATTGCTCTGAGGTACAGCAGTAATTGGAAAAAATATAAAGAATTGCTTAAGGGAAGGATAATATTTTGTCTTTAGATATCTATGACTAGCCAAGTTCATCTAGGTAAGAGTAATTTTAGGAAGGAAAAAGCAAAAGTTGTTTTCCAAAATCAATGGCTCTCAGATCCTGAATTTTTGATGTACAATATGAAAACAGCCATATCACCAACGTGACTGATGCCATGGAGCAGGGCTGTGTTCAGCTCACAGGAGAGATCCTTAACTGTGTCTGCGGTTAGAACTACTCAGGGGTATGATATACATGATCAAATATCATTAACCTGTTCTTTATTATTTTGTCTTCACGTCCAGATTCCTCCAAAGGACCTCAGCCATCTTCAGGTGTAAATGGTAACACGCAGCCCCCTGGCACAGCGGGGCAGCCCCCCGCATCTGCCATCCCTTCTCCGAGCTCCAGCAAGCCCTGGCGCAGCAAGTCCATGAATGTCAAGCACAGTGCCACCTCCACCATGCTGACCGTGAAGCAGTCCAGCCCAGCCACCTCCCCCACACCATCAGCAGACAGACTGAAGCCCCCTGTATCAGAAGGGGTCAAAACAGCCTCCTCGGGCCAGAAATCCATGCTTGAAAAATTCAAGCTGGTCAATGCCCGGACTGCTTTACGTCCCCCACAGCCTCCCAGTTCAGGGCCCAGTGATGGGGGGAAGGATGACGATGCCTTTTCTGAATCTGGTGAGACGGAAGGTTTTAACAGTGGTCTGAATAGCGGTGGCTCAACCAATAGCAGCCCCAAAGTGTCCCCTAAATTAGCCCCTCCAAAAGCTGGAAGCAAACATCTCAGCAATAAAAAGTCTTTGCTACAGCCAAAGGAAAAAGAGGAAAAGAACAGGGACAAAAATAAAGTTTGCACTGAAAAACCGGTCAAGGATGAGAAGGATCAGGTGACAGAGACAGCTCCGAAAAAGACCTCTAAAATTGCAAGCTTGATTCCAAAGGGTAGCAAGACGGCAGCAGGCAAGAAAGAAAGCTTAATCCCTTCTTCCAGTGGCATTCCAAAACCTGGCTCGAAGGTGCCCACAGCAAAGCAGACCGTTTCACCTGGCAGTGCAGTGAGCAAAGAGTCGGAAAAATTCAGGACTACCAAGGGAAGCCCTTCCCAGTCCTTACCCAAGCCCATGACCACTGAGAAAGCAAGCACATCCAATTGCCCTGCTCCTTTGGAAGGAAGGGAAGCCAGCCAAGCCCCTCCCACTGGTTCCTGCGCTGCACTGGTGGCACAAGGCGGTGGGCAGACCACGGGGAACGGTGCTGTCCAACTCCCTCAGCAGCAGCAACACAGCCACCCCAACACTGCCACGGTGGCTCCGTTCATTTACAGGTAAGATGGCCACTGTGCGTCCACAGTTGTGAACTCCTACAGCTCTTTCTACTCCGCACATCATAATGAAGGTTACTAGAGCTGTGTTTTACTTTATCATTTTGGAACACTTTGGTCTGAAGATAAAGGGCTAGGATTTCATGTTTTAAGAAAAAAAAATTTAGTATGCTCTAGTCCTATTCTCCCTCCTCTTCCCATCTTCTGTCCTCTCCTCCCTTCTTTGTAGGCCTTCTTCTTGAGGCCTTCAGAAGTTAGCTTACTTGTTCTCAGAGAAGAAGGAAAATCCAGATGCCATGATTCTCTCCTGTGTCTATTACCATTATGACTTCTACTGCTACTTTTATTATTAGTATTTTAAAGTAATTCTCAGTTTTATAGAGTTCACAGATATTTTTGTTTTCACCCTTGAGAGAAAATATGTCATGATGGTTAAAGGGGCAGGCTCTGGAATCAGACACCTGTGGATTAAATGCCCTGCCCTGGTACTTACCAGCTGTGTGACTTTGAACAAGTTACTTAACATCTTTTAATCTCATTTTCTACAGTTGTCAAATAGGAGTAACAGTACCTACCTAAAAAGCTGAGAAAAATAACAGGGTCATGCATATGTTTATTATATATTCTGGTACACTGTGTTTGTTAAATGTTGTTTATAAGGCATTGCTCTCCCAACATAAAATTTATGTTACTTTCCTATAGCTAATCATAAGTTCCCAGCCCAAAATAATCATCCACATGATTCTTATAATTGTGCTTAATTTATTAGTTTTTGCATTATAATTCTTTATTTTATAAGGTTTAAGATATGTCAACATATGCTACATTTTAAAATATTCATTCTACTATACAAATAGCACATTTTGTCTATTGTGTGGTTTGTTTTCATTGATTAGAAACATGTCAGTTGCTGCTTTGTCTCCATTTTTATTCACTACCTTTTTTGTGAGGAAATGCGTAGGGAGGAATAATATCTGACCTTTTGGCAGGTTGGAAGTTCGATAACAGGAAAGAAATTTTCTGAATAGGAAGTAGGACCTGCTATAATTAAATAGGCATCAATATTATATAGCTTAAAAGCATATTAAATTTGTTAAATGTATGGGTTTTTTAAGTAAAGAAAGTAATTATAAGGATTTGTTTTCCTTCGATGAAAAATGTAGGTGCTTTTCTGGTGCTTTATGTACTCAGCAAAGCAAGTTTCTAATTATTGCATTTCAGCTCTTTTTTAGGTCTGCTTTTCTGCCTTTAGTAGCAGCAATTCATTTAAAACCTTTGTCTTTGGATCAGATGGGAGTCAGCTCTTTGTAACTCCGGAGTCCCTATCTGACAAATGAGAATTTAAGATGTCAAATCATAATTCACATTCCAAATATGTAAGAAAAAAAATCACAAAGTTTTAAATACGCCATACTCAGCCCACTCATGCATCTCTAATATATTCTGTAGAAGCATCAGTCACTTCAAATCACCACAAATGAGTTTCACAGGAAAGTGCAAATCTAAGCAGAAAGACTGTACCTGCCAGGTTGGCAAGCATCTTCCTGGAAGTAGCAATAGGATTGTTTGTTTCTTTGTCATAAAGTATCCAGCGGAGGGGCACCTGGGGGGCTCAGTGATCAAGCATTTTTCTTTGCCTCCAGTCATGACCCAGGGTCCTGGGATTGAGCCCAGCATCCAGCTCCCTGCTCAGTGAGAAGCCTGCTTCTCCCCCTCCCACTCCCCCTGCTTGTGTTTCCTCTCTCACTGTCTCTCTCTTTCTCTGTCTCTGTCAAATAAATAAATAAAATCTTTAGAAAAAAATAATAAAAAACAAAAAATAAAATAAAAAGAGGAAGGAGTACAGCTTACAGTTTCAACCATGGATCAGCTGTGTGTCCTTGCCAGATTGTCCAACCTCTGAATTTGTCCTTTTTTAAAACGAAGATTATAAAACCGAGGTAATACAGCCAAGTAGCTAAGAATATAAGCTGTGAAGTCTGTTGGTTCTGTCATTGTTCAGAAACAACATCTTGCATTGTTGAGAAGATGACCCCAAGAGCCAGTTTGCCTGTGTTGGAATCTTGATAAGGTCATTTATTAGCCATGTGACTTTGGGCAAAATATTTAAAGATTCTGAGCCTCGATTCCTATCCGTAAAATGGGGATGATAATAGACATTGTCTCATAAAGCTATTTTGAAGATTGAATTAATATTTATACAGGGCTTGGAACAGTACCTGCCACATGGTGAACAGTCTTCCCCAAATTTCAGTTTATAACCCTATAAAGGGTGGTGGTTAAGAATATCCACTGTATTTAGGTGTTTTAAAGATTAAGTAAGGCAACCCCATGTAAAGACTTTAGCACAGAGCCAGGTTCAGAGTGAATGACTTATAAATATCAGCAATTAGTTGTGTCATTATGAATAATATAAGGTAGTTGGAAATAAAACCATCTAATAAGAAAATTTCATATCATAGTCTATATAGGAGGCAATAATTGCTGGGAGTCTTCTGTAAATTAAAAATAATTTTATAAATGATAATATAAATCTCCTCAAGGTAGAGTAGTTAACAGTTAAGCTTTTTAACTGTCAGCGAAAGCTATTTACATCACAGAGTCACGTAGTTTGGATTATATGATCCCCCTCATGTACTTTGGACTCTGCCTGCTCCAAGCCCATTTAAGAATTCTTCCTTCAAAATGTCTGACAGACTTTCTAGGAGTTGCTAATTATTTGATAAGATAATAGTAATAATTAACTACTTTATAATGTGGTTGAGTAGGTAGTGCAAGTCTGTATGTTATAAGATTTATGTTCATTCTCTCATTTAAACTTTATCATAACCTCATGAGAAAAGAATTTTATCTCCATTCTACAGAGGTGAAGAATCAGAGATTTCAAATCAGAACAGGACTCATCTCTTAAAGTCACAGGACTAGTAGGGGTTTGCCTTTGAACCCAACTATACCTAGACTTCTAGTATGCCCTTCTTTGCTCATCAGTTCTTTCTCTATGTATATAAATATGAAGTATTGTTACTAGAAAAATTCTGGCTGCCAAGATGTGAATAATAGATTGTAAAATTTCTAATAAGAATTCATTTATGATGGGAAATGCTTAATTGGTTGGAAGTAATATAAATTTAGAATACATATATTTGTATGTATGTGCTTAAATATACGTATTTTTGACATTTAAAGATAATTAAATAACTTCTATAAAATGGGAATATAGATGGCTGATGGTAGTATTTTTCCCTTTTTCTCAGCCCAGTGAGGTCAGGCTAGGTTATTAATTATTTCTTCTGGGACTCTAATATATGCTTCATAATACTTTTTCTTATAAATTGAATGTCAAGAGTTCTATAAATATAATGTTGAGTTCTGGAAGTTGATGGATATCATATTAGTCCTACTTCCTATATAATGCAAGGATGTTCTATATTAAGGTTTTGTAACTCATTTGTCACTACAATGTGAAAAAAGTCATTTTGAACTTAGTATATCTTTATCCATTTAATGAGTGGGGATAACTGAAGTCAAAGGTGAAAATTTTAAGAAAGAATATTTTAATTTAATGTCAAAAGTTCCCAATGTTTAAACCTATTGGAATGGAATAAGCTACCTTTGTAAGTATTAAGGTGACTACCAGAGATAATTTAAGAAATGATAGAATGACAAGTTGCCATAGTTTAGGTAAAGGAAAAGCACCAAATACTTTTTCATTTTTGTTCTCATCACTCATTCTGCCAATACTATGGAATAAGAGTTATGAAGGGTTTTTTTTTTTGTTTGTTTTGTTTTGTTTTTAGCCTCTGCCTTCAGGAAGCTCAGTCTATGGGAGATAATGATAGAATATAATAAAAATAAAAACTCATTGCTCTTATGGAAGTATATGCAAAAAATTGTGTAGAATGGTTTTCCTAAGTCTTGCATGAGGATGGAGTCAGTGGATGTATCCAGAGGAGATAAGACAAGAGACAAGATTTACAGCATGAGTTAGAATTTGTCAATGTTGTGGCATCATCAATTTGACATTCTATAATTTTACAATCCAAGCCTTATGGAACAAGTAGTAGGCAAATTAAAAAGTACTGGGCAAATGCTAGTAACTGAGCTACTACAGAGACTAGAGGTTGGGATGCATGGTTTTTGTGTGGGATACTAAGGAAGAAAATTTAGAAAGAATCCATATTTTGTTCTGCAGTTCAGTCACTCTGTCCCTGTACATCTCTTTTTCAGCTACACCTATTGGCTCTTTCCCCCAAACTTACCCTCAACTAGGTATTTCTCTCCATTTCCCCCTCCCCGTCCTGGTCCAGGCTGTCATCACCAGTTCTTACCTAGTTTCCGGCGAGTCTTCCAGCTTCCACTTTTGCTCCATTCAGTGACATCCTTCACACAGCAGGGACTCTCACCTTCTGAAAGTATAAATCATATATATCATTCCAATTCATGAGACAATCTATTGAATATCCCTTATACTTAAAAAAAAAAAATGAAACCCAAACACCTTGCCCACCTAACCTGGCCCCTGTCTAGCCCACAAGCCACACTCATACCATTCTCCTTGTAGTGCACTGAGCCCCTCCCTTCGTCCTGTGTCTCAAGAAACTAACCTATCCTGTTTAGGGGCCATAGTCATGGACAATCTCTCTACCTATAATGACTCTCTTCCAGAGCAAAGAAGGGTACTTCTTCTTAACAGCTCTCTGCTTACAGGCTACCTCTTCCCAGAAGCTCTCTCCAGTCATCTGGTTCAAAGAAACATTCAGTATGCCTCTCACCAAATCATATGACATCATCCTCTCATAATTTTTTTTATTTTTTTTAAAGATTTTATTTATTTATTTATTTGACAGAGATCACAAGTAGGCAGAGAGGCAGAGAGAGTGCAGGGAAGCAGGCTCCCTGCTGAGCAGAGAGCCGGATGTAGGGCTCAATCCCAGGACCCTGGGACCATGACCCGAGCTGAAGGCAGAGGCTTTAACCCACTGAGTCACCCAGGTGCCCTTCCT